CGTCGCCCCGCGCGTGTGCCGCCCTCCCTCGCCTCTGGGACTCGCCCGGGACGCGCGCCCTGCGCTCCGCAGCGCCCTTCCTGCCGCCCGGACGTGCTGTTCCCTGTGCACCTTCGACCGGGCCGCGTTTTTATGGCAGAATAAACTTTTCCAGTGAGCCGAGCACCTGGCCTGCGTGTGTCCAGTGGGAGCGGTGCCCTGCGAGGGTGCCGGGACGGTGTGGGGAGAGGCGACACTGACCCGGAGCCGGCCGCCCCGAGGCTCCCCATGCACGCGCTGCCTGCGCCTCCCCGTGCCCGAGGCGGCGCCCGGGCTCAGCCGCGTGCAAGCGCCCCGCGCACGGCCTGTGGGTCTGGGCTCCGTGTGCGTGTCTCCCTGGGCTCAGCCGCGTGCAAGCGCCCCGCGCACGGCCTGTGATTCCGGGCTCTGTGTGCGTGTCTCCCCGGGCTCAGCTGCGTGCAAGCGCCCCGCGCACTTCCTGTGATTCCGGGCTCAGCTGCGTGCAAGCGCCCCGCGCACGGCCTGTGATTCCGGGCTCCGTGTGCGTGTCTCGCCCTCAGGCACGGCCCTGGTCTGTACCTCCTCCCCGGGCCCGGTCGGCACAGAGGTCCGGGGCCAGCTTGGCCTGTCGCAGTTCGGAGCACCGGGCCAGCAGGGTGCTGTCGCAGGCCCGCGCGTCTATCGCGGCGCTCCTGCTTCGGCTGGCCGTGACCTGAGAGCGCGCTGCCCTGGGCCGGCTTGGAAACGTAGCTGCGCAAAAGATGGGATGGGGCCGGGTGTCTCTGACATGCTTTGGTGGCGACATGTAAGGTCATGCACTGGTTCGTGCATGGTCCAAGAAGGGGCCTGGGACAGAGTTGGAGATGGGCATGTCCCAGCCCACACTTGAGAGACCGAGGAGGGCACACACGCAGAGAGGCTGCACTCCCAGGAGGAGGCAGAGGCGGGAGGGTCTCCCCTGGAGCCTGGGAAGCATGGAGAAGGGAGGGTCTCCCTGCTGTCCAACCTGCCTAGTGCATGTGCGTTTGTTCCTCGACTCTCAAGAAAGGGTCGCCCCGGCTGGACCCCTGCGGGAGTCTGGAGCTCGGTAATCTGCAGGGATTAGCTGGTGGGGGCGGCACATGGGATGAGGCACTCAGAGCTGGAGGTGGGGTGCAGGCCACTGTCCCGCAGCGTGGTGCCCTTGGTAAGCCGGGGCCCTTCCCGGAGCTGGCAGTGTCTCTGGCTGGCTGGGAGCACTCGGTGCAGACGCAGCCCGGGGCGGAGGTGGACATGGGCTCGGCAGAGCACAGCGACTACCAGGCGCTCACCGAGTGTGCGCACGGCTTCATGGTGTCGCAGGTGAGGCGCGGGCCCTGGCCCTTGGGCGGGCTGCTCTGGGGGCGGCTGCCCGCTCCCGGTTGGGCCTGGGCTTGCGCGGGGCACCGTGGGCCGAAGCGAGCAGCCCTGGCTGGCGGACAGCTGGCCGTCGGTTCTGACCACGCACACGGCGTCCGGGAGCACAGGCCCCGCACGGAAAACGAAGATTGTGTGGTTAGTGTCTTTGGAGCCTAAAGTAATCTCAGCACTCAGCCGAGGCAGGAGGCTCCGAGTTCAAGCCCAGCCTGGGCGACTTAGGGAAACCCTGCCCCGAAATAAGAGATGTTGGGCGCAGCTGGCGTGAAAGCCCCGACTTGAGGCCC